CGTCAGAGGCTCAAAATCCGCGTTACTGGAGCGAGCAATTGACACTCCCTGTAAGATTTAGAGAAGCTGTGGAGGCAGCAGTGGAAGCGTCTAAGTCAGACCGAATCGTGTTTGTGGAGATTGGACCGCAGAAGACTCTAATAAATCTGACTGCGCAGATACTCAGCACCCAGGCAAGTATCGTGACGGATTTAGTGAATATGGTGGAGCGGGGAGAGGACACGGACGAGGGTTCTGTAATGGAGAAGCTACGTCGGTGCGAGCGCCTTTGTAGTGCGCCGCTCAGTTCCGCTAAGAAACAGAAGTGGAACCATCAGTAAGCACAGGGGCCCCCTGCAAGGTGACACAAAAAGCGTTGCTCATATCTTTTGCCTAGATTATGTTGCCATGTACACCGTTGATGTACTATAGTCTATACTGGTTGCCACTTGCGTTTTTTGCCCTGCTTTTGCAGGTCCTTTGAGTGGAGAAAGCTGTCTCATCCCCTTGTCGACACGGATGAAGCACTCTCGTTACTTGAAACAGGCAGCTCTACAGCCTTCTGTGAGAAGCCAATTCGTACCGGCACCTTAAGTATGCTGAGGGATCACGTGGTGTGGGGCACGCCTATTATTCCAGGTGTTGCCTTTATCGATGCAATGCTTAGTGCAGCCTTAGCGCTGACGAGCACCTCGCTCGTTCAGGCCAGCATTGAGCTGCACGATGTAGCCATTTTACAGCCAATGATTCTCCATGAGGGCCCTGAATCTTGGGGCCAGCAAGCAGTGAAATGCCCAACGAGCCCTAGTAGCATCGGGCTTGCGCTGAAGCTGGAGGTTTTGGGTGAACGCACCAGCGTTGCCCTCTCCTCGACTCACGTGGGAGGAGTCTCTGCGGAAGCGAGGGTTGCGTCAGCAGTTACTCATGCCGAAGGCTGGTTCTCGATGACTGAGGCTGGATGTGCTTCGAAGCCCCCAACATTGGACGTTGCGAACCACACGAAACACATGGTTGAAAACATGAGGATACACTACAATGCCTCTGAAGCCTACGAAGAGCTGAGACGATGCGGCTTAGAATATGGCCAGTGTTTCCAAACAATCCATGACATAATTATTGCTGATGCTTCCGCTCTTGTCGAACTCAGATTTCAACATGAGGTTTCCGACTTTGACAGTAGCTTTATTTTGCATCCTTCCATTCTTGATGGATGCGTCCAGAGTGCTGTGCTTCTTGCTCTTCTGCACATGCCGAGCTGGCGCACCGCTTTAGTGCCCGTTGGTGCATCAGACATTAGAGTCTGGGATACTATCCATGCATGGAGCAGTTCGTATTGGGCAGATGTGAATATGGTTGATGGAGGAAGTCTGACCAGTGAGTCAGAAGGGGCTGTCGTATCGATCACTTTGTTCGATGATAGTGCCAATGTGGTGGCCCAGATCGGTATGATGCGTTTGAAGCCAGTGACTGTGGATCAGGTTTTCCCTATGGAGCGTGATCTTGGGCGAGGCATGCTGTGGGGATTAAAATGGGTGGAGAGCCCGGTGGTGCCGCAGTCTCAGAAGGCTTCAAAACAGAAGCTGCACTGGCTTGTGCGAGGGGTAGAAGACGACGCAACTACTTGCCTAGAAAACACCATGGAGGTTTTTGAAAGTACACGTATTGAACTACACTACAGTTCAAAGACATTGCTGGAGGCCGAGGAAAATAATGTGCTCGACGATTTGGATGCAGCGGTGCATGTTGCTGGGGTTTGTCAAAGGTGGACCAGCGCCGTAGACTACCTGGCAGATGTCCTGGCATTCTTGCAGGCTATTTCTCGTCAAATTGATCCTCAGAAGGTCGACGCTCTGCCATTAATAATCATTGTAGTTGCGGGCACTTCTGCTGTACTTCCAGGGGAACAATCTGTCCACCCACTTTTAGCAGGAGTACGTGGTCTGTGCCGAACAGCACGGCTTGAGATGGAGGCCATCGCAAATCGGCGTGTGCCGCTGCTAGTAGTGGATCTTGATCCAAGCCAGGTGGAACAGCAATCTCCTGTGAACGTGATTCGCCAGGTGGCATATGCCCTTCGCTCATCACACTTGATGAAAACAGGCAGCCCTGCCAGCGCCAGAGAACAAAGCTATATTGAGACCGAGCTTGTCGTTCGGAAAGGCCGGATCTTTTCCCCGCAACTCACACCCAGTGGAGTGCAGCTGCTCCCTGCGATCCGCACACCGAGCCCAATAGGCATGGGGGACACAGTTATTGTTACAGGAGGCCTTGGTGGCCTAGGCCTTGTCGTTGCTCATTGGCTTGCAGAACAAAAAGCAAAATCAGTAATCCTTCTCTCGAGAACGGGGAAGCCGCCGCAGCACGGAACAACGGCTCAACTATGGCAGCAACTTCGGGAGAGGCATAATACTACTCAGTTCGTCGTCCAACGATGCGATGTCGCTTGCGCATCACAAGTTGACGCTCTCTTTTGTAACATCAAACGCGGATACCTCGTGTGCGAAAGCACCGGAATGCTGTGTTACATAGGACCTCTAGATGGGATATTCCACAGTGCTGGCGTGCTGGTTGACAGGCCCTTGCTGCAGCAAGACTCTGAATCGCTGAGATGCGTGATTGAGCCGAAGGTGGATGGAGCATGGAACTTGCACAATTGCCTTGGCAAGCATTCAATGGAGAGCAACCTGAGATACTTCGTCATGTTCTCGTCTTCCGTGGGGCTGTTGGGGAACGCTGGCCAGGCAAACTATGCGGCTGCCAACTGCTGCCTTGATGAACTCGCTCTATATCGGCGCTCTCTTGGACTTGTTGCTCATAGTATTCAATGGGGTCCATGGGTCGAACAAGGCATGGCAGCACAACTACAGGAACGCTTCTCAAAGACGGGATTTGGAGGCATCTCAAACTCACTGGGCCTGTTAACTCTGACTGCCGTATTGCAGCAGAACTCAGAACCCGTCGTAGGGTGCCAGCCGATATATTGGCGTCGCTTCCTAAATCGATATAGGTTTGCCACCCCTACTGCCTTCGAGCATTTTGCAAGGCTAGCTATCAACACCGCGACAAACACTGAAAGTCAAAGAGGAGACACTCGTGTAGAGGGCAAGCAGCTGAGTGGTAGGAAACAAAATAATCAGCAAAAAAATATTCAGCAAGTTGTCGTTGCAGCAGCAAAGTCTGTGCTAAACGGTGCGGCGAATGTTGAAGTAGACGCCCCTCTCCAGGAGCTCGGGATAGATTCCTTGGGTGCAATTGAATTTCGCGATGCCATTCAAAATGCACTAAACGTCAGGCTTAGTGCGACTGTGCTGTTTGATCACCCATCCATCGAAGCGCTAACCAAATTCCTTGAACACGAGGTTAGCGACACAGACAATGGGGAGGCTGCGACGGCTTCAATTGTCGAGTCCCTTTCCCCAGTTGATTCACCCCCAGGATCTGCAACTGCAGTGGTTGGCATCGCATGTAGGTTTCCTGCTTCTGATGATGATCCGAGAGGCTTTTGGCAAATGCTTTCCAAGGGAACTGATTGTATTTCAAAGATTCCTGAAAACCGGTTTGATATAGATACTGCATATGATCCGAACAAGGACGCAACAGGTAAAATGTACGTACGTGAGGGAGGATTTATTAAATCTATGGACCTCTTCGATAATCGGTTCTTTCATGTACCCGATGGCGAAGCTGAACAAATGGATCCGCGACAGCGAGTTGCCTTAGAGTTAGCATTTGAAGCTGCAGTTGACGCTGGATATGGTCTCAAGCAGCTTGAAGGACTGCCAATCGGTGTTTTCGTCGGGGCGATGAATCACGAAAATGTTTTTGAGGGCGACGCCGCAATTTCCGCGTTTACTGCCACTTCAAATGCCGTCGCAATACTGGCAAACCGCATTTCCTACTTCTACGCTCTTACTGGCCCAAGTATGTCAGTAGATACAGCCTGTTCTTCATCGCTCGTTGCCATCTGCCTTTCTCTACCAGCGCTTCTCTCCGATCAAAGCCCAGCGATCGTACTAGGCGTCAATGCACTTCTTTCCCCCACATACTTTATCCAGACGTGCAAAGCTCATATGCTAAGCATCGACGGAAGGTGCAAGACCTTCGACGCATCAGCAAATGGCTACGTTCGCAGTGAAGGATGCGGCGCAGTGCTCTTGCAGGCACTGCCACGCGAATCCACAAACCCCAACTCTGTCTATGCGTGGATCAGAGGGGCCGCAAACAACCATGTAGGCAGGAGTGCCAGCCTCACTGCTCCCAACGGACCGGCGCAGCAAGCCGTGATTCGAGCAGCATTGCGTGATGCCCGGATACAATCACCTGCAGACATCTCTG